TCTAATCTAAAGAATATAGCTCACCATAGTCTAATCTAAAGAATATAGCTCACCATAGTCTAATCTAAAGAATATAGCTCACTATGTCTAATAAAAGGTCAGTGTTTTGTTAAACTAGACTGAGCTGAGGAAGTAAACTAACTGATGTTACTGTATGTTGAATTCCGTTCCATTAACATCTTGTATGCAGTGTAATATATCAATTTGAATTGTAATTTTTTAAACTCCTTTTAGCGTTATTTCAACAACAGTGTTCCTTAATAAATTGTATCTGTGCACAATAACATAGCAGTTGGTATTGCTTTCAAAGAAAATAACTTCTTCACCCCATGTTCTTATCTCCACTTTTTCCCAGCATGTCAGTAATTCAGGTTGATGTGTAGAGTGACCTTTTTTGAAAAGCACGTTGCTGGTGTGGGCATCAGTATTTTTTGTGCACGGTTCATCACGGGGAAAGCCAAGTGTTGAGTTTGATGTGGTCAATAATGTTTGATTTATAACTATTTTACCATCTATCAGCATGCATCTTTGTGTAGTAAAAGATAACATCTGTTTATAGCCAAAGGTTGGCAATTTTTGTTAAAGGGGCAAACTGCAGTTCATACAAGTGTTTACCCCACCACTGTTATAGTAAATAGCTGAGGGATGGGATTGGAGAAATGTAACCACTCTCAAATTCTTAGACAGAGCAATGGATTCAAGGATTGAACATCAATGATATCACAAATATAGTTTTTTTTATCATGTTCTGAGGCTATATAGTGTTTGTTGACAGTTAAATGTTTTATACAATGGAGTAAAACAAGCTTATATTTGGGTTTCTGGTGGGGTACTACAGTTGAACTAAGCTCATGAGGCATTTATAAGTTATATTCAAGAATCAATGGGTATATATAAAATCAAATCCAATTTTATTTGTCACATGTGCCGAATACAACTGGTGTAGACTTTACTGTGAAATGCTTGCTTACGAGCCCTTACCAATGATGCAGTTAAAAATAGTTTAAAATAGTAACACAAGAGGAATAAAATAAAATACACAAGAATATATCATTAATATTATTATATAATGAATTTAAAAGTTAAAAAAATGGATGTACCAATTGCAGATTGCCCATTTAAAATGATGTGGCAAAATGTATGGGGCACTGATTTTCTTACAGTCTGTAAGATTGTCAAAGGCTTTTTATGCAAATGAATGAATAGTTGAGATAATAAAACTCCTAAGTAGTAAATAATGACTAAGTTCCTGCCAGAAAGATGGAAGATCACCCAAGGAAATGACACAAATGATTTCAGTGATATGTGGCACACATCAGACTCATGCCATTACTAAAGTCGCCTGTGTGGGAGAATATAGTATGACAAATAATTATAGTGAGAAAACTGGCAAAAGGGATTCCCCAATAGTTTGGAAATTTCAACAATGGGTCTTAAATGCTGCCACACAGGTCCAGAACCAAGTCATTAGGAACCAGTAGTCTACTTGCAATGCACAAAGGTACAATGCTTATTCTGCTGCTCTCGATGATTAGTCTGGCTGCCTGATCTCCAGCACAATGCCTAGGAAGATCTCTGGATAGTCTGGCTGCCTCATCTCCAGCACAACGCCTAGGAAGATCTCTGGATAGTCTGGCTGCCTCATCTCCAGCACAACGCCTAGGAAGATCTCTGGATAGTCTGGCTGCCTCATCTCCAGCACAACGCCTAGGAAGATCTCTGGATAGTCTGGCTGCCTGATCTCCAGCACAACGCCTAGGAAGATCTCTGGATAGTCTGGCTGCCTCATCTCCAGCACAACGCCTAGGAAGATCTCTGGATAGTCTGGCTGCCTCATCTCCAGCACAACGCCTAGGAAGATCTCTGGATAGTCTGGCTGCCTCATCTCCAGCACAACGCCTAGGAAGATCTCTGGATAGTCTGGCTGCCTCATCTCCAGCACAACGCCTAGGATGATCTCTGGATAGTCTGGCTGCCTCATCTCCAGCACAATGCCTAGGAAGATCTCTGGATAGTCTGGCTGCCTCATCTCCAGCACAATGCCTAGGAAGATCTCTGGATAGTCTGGCTGCCTCATCTCCAGCACAATGCCTAGGAAGATCTCTGGATAGTCTGGCCACCTCATCTCCAGCATAACCCTTAGGAAGATCTCTGGATAGTCTGGCCGCCTCATCTCCAGCACAACCCTTAGGAAGATCTCTGGATAGTCTGGCCACCTCATCTCCAGCACAATGCCTAGGAAGATCTCTGGAGCATGATAGAGATATAAATAATTATATTGAAATAGTACTTAAGGTAAGATAGTTATAACTACACTAAAACATTTTTGACAATTGTTCAAGTCCAGACAACGTTTAGAGATGAAAGTAATGTAATCAATGTTACCTTTGTGTCCTGAACCACAGAACTGTCCTGAAGGCTGCAGCACTACAGATCCGGGTTCGAGCCCGGGCTGTGTCGCAGCCGGCCACGCCCGGGAGACCCATGAGGCGACGCACAATTGGCGTAGCGTCATCCGGGTTAGGGGAGGGTTGTCCTTGGCCGGCCGGGATGTCCTTGTCCCATCGCGCTCTAGCGACTCCTGAAATTCTGGACATGGCAGAGATAACTGAAGAGCCATGAAATTACTATTACAAAGATCTTACCAGATGTACGTGTTATTCTCTGTCATTGAAGGGCTTTCAGCTGGCCGCTCACTGTGAACCAGTGGTGTCTCCGAAGGTGTTTCTGGAGCGGCTGAAAAAAGTGTTCGAAAAACTCAACACCCTCCACTATACACCCAACTGATCAACTATAACAACATTGTTTCTATATTATTTTCTCTATCATTTCTCTATTGACTGTTTATCCATTTGAAATTGTATTAAACAAGTGGACTGAATAGCTTACATTACAAGCCTCCTATACGCTGATCAACCATAACACAATTATTTCTATATGCTGTATTTATCATTTATTTATTCACTATTTCTGAATTTGAAATTGTATTGCTAATCATTGGATAAACACCTGAAACAGACATATCTACTACTGCGTTTGCTTTTCCTGTATTGACTTCATTGTGAAATGACCAGTAAATTAGATAATATAGCCTAGGTCTGAATGTAGGTCTATGTATGGCAAAGTGCATCATAGATAAATCTGTCTGAAGAATATTAGAGCCATATCTTTTGTTGACCTTTAAATTCTGGTGTTGACCTTTCAATTCTTGGGGTTAGAAACGAAATTTCTATCTAATCCTAAACCAGCATGATACAAATCATGTAAGAAACAATAAAGAAAACATTGGATGTTTTTGGACATTGGAATACTTGAGGTGTTTGATATGGCTTCATACCTAGGTAGCTTCTAGGCTCTCCAACAACAAACTAACAACTGGCTAAACAACATTTGTGGCAACTGGCGATCAAACGTGAAACTCTTGGGGGACAGCATTATAAGTGCCCGCTAGGTGGCGCTATTCTATTGCGGGGATTTGGAGAAGGTAAAACAGCTAGTCCAACGTAGTGCTCCACCTACCTAGAGATGCGCTAGCGTGTCAAAAGCATTCGGGAAGTAGGCGATTGGGCGAAACGTTACAAACAGTGAAGTGAAGTAGGCGACAATAAAAAGGAGACACTAAAGAATCCGAAAATGCAACCTCCTCCCAGAAAGGTAAGAATTTGAAAAAATATAGATATTTTTTAATTCACAATTATGTCAAATGACATGAACAATAGAGATGTCGGAGGTTGAAAGATGTTGAAAGAACCTCCGACATCTCTTATTTTCATTTGCCACTTGCCACAGTTGATTTGACATAATTGTGGAGTTTCTGAAAATGTAAGTTGTTATTGCGAATTCTTTCACACGAGGTGAACTGTTTAATAGAAAATGTATAGAAAAGTCCTACTCCTAACTGTGAAGTAGTCTTAATTTGAATTTGGTCGTTTTCACTTGTGGCATTTTCTTAGGTTCCAAGTAATGATGTCAGCACCCTTATAATGCTCAATGCACATTTTGCACCATTACTTCTGCTATTGCTTATATTCAAACGTCCACAATACACAATGCACACAGAGAGAAAGAGAGAGAGAGAGAGAGAGAGAGAGAGAGAGAGAGAGAGAGAGAGAGAGAGAGAGTGATAGAGAGATAATTAACATCAGTGCATGTACAGTTTCCGTGTCGGAGCTAAGTGGATACTTGGTCTCTGATGTTGCTGACTGACCTTCAGACTGAAGGCTTCCGCTGATGTACCCAGAGGCGGACTTGGACAAAAATTAAACACTGGCATTTAAGCCACACAACATCACCGCGCCCTCACCCCCATAAATATTATACCCCCCTGTTATTGGTAATGGTGAGAGGTTAGCATGTCTTGGGGGTATGATCTTTGTGCATCTGTAACTTTCTCACTCACGATTCCTTCATGAGTATCGGTTAATCATGGTAGCATCCACATTAATGTAGAAGTGTTCTGAAACATATTATATTCTTATTTACAATAAAAGTGACTCCAAAATAACACGATACATTATATAACATTAATTTCTATTGGGCACAAAATAATCGGAAACACAACCAAAACAAACTGTAAATGCATTCTGTGGGAAGCATTGGAATCAACATGGGCCAACAACCCTGTGGAACGCTTTCCACACGTTGTAGAGTCCATGCCCCGACGAATACTATGTACAAGAAGTGCTGTAATTTCTAAACGGTTCACCCGATATGGATGTAAATACCCTCAAATTGAAGCTGACAGTCTGCACTTTAATCTCATAGTCATTGTATCAAATCCAAAGTGCTGGAGTACAGAGCCAAAACAACAAACAATGTGTCTCTGTCTAAATACATTTGGACCTCACTGTAAATTCGAATAATGTGTTTTTATTGACTGGGTAGACTGTACTGTTTACATCCGCTTTATGCCTGTGCACGTGATGAATAAACTTTGATTTGATTTAGTCCCGGTGCTGGCTGGTCCTGATACAGGTATTTGTCACTGTGGTGATTGACAGGTGAAGGAGACCCAGCAGGTGAAGGTGGCCTTTGCAGAGCAGGTGGGGCGTCTGCAGAGCAAACAGCAGCAGGAGGTAGAACTCCTGGAGGACATCAGGTGTGACCATCCTGTCCCACCCTGCCCCATCCTACCTACCTGACTCTGCTATACCCTGACTTACTCTGCCATACCCTGCACCACCCTACCCCACCCTGGCCCACTGTCCCCCCCCCCGCCCCCTACTCCATCTACCCCACCCTGGCCCACTGTCCCCCCCGCCCCCGCCCCCCCTACTCCATCTACCCTACCCTGGTCCACTGTCCCCCCCCCCCCCACTGTCCCCCCCCGCCCCCTACTCCATCTACCCCACCCTGGCCCACTGTCCCCCCCCCGCCCCCTACTCCATCTACCCCACCCTGGCCCACTGTCCCCCCCCCCCCCCCCACTGTCCCCCCCCCGCCCCCTACTCCATCTACCCCACCCTGGCCCACTGTCCCCCCCCCCGCCCCCTACTCCATCTACCCCACCCTGGCCCACTGTCCCCCCCCCCGCCCCCACCCCCTACTCCATCTACCCTACCCTGGTCCACTGTCCCCCCCCCCCCCCCCACTGTCCCCCCCCGCCCCCTACTCCATCTACCCCACCCTGGCCCACTGTCCCCCCCCGCCGCCGCCCCCTACTCCATCTACCCCACCCTGGCCCACTGTCCCCCCTTGCCCCCATCCTGCTATACCCTTCCCCATCCTTCAGAAGCCTGTGTTTGTATAATACATACTGTACATATTTGATAATACTGTATGTATGACTCCAGTATGGCTGCAATTGGCCGTGTAGTCATAACAAGAACCATTAGATACACTAAGGATGCTGTGTGAAACAGAGAATGATTTATGGGATTGCTGACTAATGCGCTCTGACAATTACAGTTGAAGTTGGAAGTTTACATACACTTAGGTTGGAGTCATTAAAACTCGTTTTTCAACCACTCCACAAATTTCTTGTTAACAAACTATAGTTTTGGCAAGGCGGTTAGGACATCTACTTTGTGCATGACACAAGTAATTTTTCCAAAAATTGTTTACAGACAGATTATTTCACTTATAATTCACTGTATCACAATTCCAGTGGGTCAGAAGTTTACGTACACTAAGTTGACTGTGCCTTTAAACAGCTTGGAGAATTCCAGAAAATGATGTCATGGCTTTAGAAGCTTCTGATAGGCTAATTGACATAATTTGAGTCAATTGGAGGTGTACCTGTGGATGTATTTCAAGGCCTACCTTCAAACGCAGTGCCTCTTTGCTTGACATCATGGGAAAATCAAAAGAAATCAGCCAAGACCTCAGAAAAATAATTGTAGACCTCCACAAGTCTGGTTCATCATTGGGAGCAATTTCCAAACGACTGAAGGTACCACGTTCATCTGTACAAACAATAGTACGCAAGTATAAACACCATGGGACCACGCAGCCGTCATACCGCTCAGGAAGGAGACGCGTTCTGTCTCCTAGAGATGAACGTACTTTGGTGCGAAAAGTGCAAATCAATCCCAGAACAACAGCAAAGGACCTTGTGAAGATGCTGGAGGAAACAGGTACAAAAGTATCTATTTCCACAGTAAAACGAGTCCTATATCGACATAACCTGAAAGGCCGCTCAGCAAGGAAGAAGCCACTGCTCCAAAACCGCCTTAACAAAGCCAGACTACGGTTTGCAACTGCACATGGGGACAAAGATCGTACTTTTTGGAGAAATGTCCTCTGGTCTGATGAAACAAAAATAGAACTGTTTGACCATAATTGTCACGAACGTCTTCCAAATGAGTAGACCAAAGCGCAGCGCATTGAGCGAACATGACTTTATTACTTCAAAGTCTGGAAACAAAACAACAAAACAAGAACGATTCGTGAAGTCCTCTGCAATACTGACAGAACATGGAACAAAAACCCACAACACCCAAAGGAAAACATACAGATAAATATGGCTCCCAATCAGAGATAACGAGCCGACAGCTGACACTCGTTACCTCCGATTGGGAGTCACATGACTACACAAGAACTAACCAAAACCACACACACCCAAATGAACACACCCTATTCCCAACCTAACCAAAACAAACCCCCACAAAACGAATACACCCTGGCTCAAATACAAGTCCCGGAGCCAGAGTGTGACAGTACCCCCCCCTAAAGGCGCGGACTGCGACCGCGCCTCAACTAGGGCTAACCAAGGGAGGGCTGGGTGGGCATACCTCTTCGGCGGTGGTTCTGGCTCTGGTCGTGGTCCCCACCCCACCATAGTCACTACCCGCCTCCGTAGCCTCCTCCAACTTAACCCCACCGGATAAAGGGGCAGCACCGGACTAAGAGGCAGCACCGGACTAAGGGGCAGCACCGGACTAAGGGGCAGCACCAGGATAAGGGGCAGCACCAGACTAAGGGGCAGCACCGGACTAAGGGGCAGCACCGGACTGAATGGCGGATCCTGGCTGGCTGGCTCTGGCGGATCCTGGCTGGCTGACGGATCTGGCTGCTCATGGCTGGCTGACGGATCTGGCTGCTCATGGCAGGCTGACGGATCTGGCTGCTCATGGCTGGCGGAAGGCTCTGGCTGATCCTGTCTGGCGGAAGGCTCTGGCTGATCCTGTCTGGCGGAAGGCTCTGGCTGATCCTGTCTGGCGGAAGGCTCTGGCTGATCCTGTCTGGCGGAAGGCTCTGGCTGATCCTGTCTGGCGGAAGGCTCTGACTGATCCTGTCTGGCGGACGGCTCTAGCGGCTCCTGTCTGGCGGAAGGCTTTAGCGGCTCCGGTCTGGCGGACGGCTCTGAAGGCTCATGGCAGACGGGCGGCTTATGCAGCGCTTGGCAGACGGACAGTTCAGACGGCGTTGGGCAGACGGGCAGTTCAGGCGCCGTTGGGCAGACGGGCAGTTCAAGCGCCGTTGGGCAGACGGGCAGTTCAGGCGCCGTTGGGCAGACGGGCAGTTCAGGCGCCGTTGGGCAGACGGCAGACTCTGGCCGGCCGAGACGCACTATAGGCCTGGTGCGTGGTGCCGGAACTGGTGGTCCCGGGCTGAGGACACGCATCTCAGGGCTAGTGCGGGGAGCAGCAACAGGCCGGGCTGGGCTGGCGACGCACACCGTAGTTCTAGTGCGTGGAGCAGGAACAGGCCGGGCTGGGCTGGCGACGCGCACCGTAGACTTGGTGCGGGTGGCAGGAACAGGCCGGACCGGGCTGGCGACGCGCACCGTAGACTTGGTGCGGGTGGCAGGAACAGGCCGGACCGGGCTGGCGACGCGCACCGTAGACTTGGTGCGGGTGGCAGGAACAGGCCGGACCAGGCTGGCGACGCGCACCGTAGACTTGGTGCGGGTGGCAGGAACAGGCCGGACCGGGCTGGCGACGCGCACCGTAGACTTGGTGCGGGTGGCAGGAACAGGCCGGACCGGGCTGGCGACGCGCACCGTAGGTTTGGTGCGAGTGGCAGGAACAGGCCGGGTCGGGCTGGCGACGTACACCGTAGGCTTAGTACGTGGAGCAGGAACCGGCCGGGCTGGACTGGCGACGCACACCGTGGGCTTGATGCGTGGAGTAGGAACAGGCCGGTCCGTACTGGGAACACACACCACTGGCCTTAACCGGGGATCAGGAACGGGCCGGACCGGACTGGTAACACACCTCAGTCTCTTACGCCGTGCCTCAACTGCTTCCCTCCCTCTACTCGCCAATGGCTCCCGTAATCCGGTAGCCTTCTCTCCACGTCTCCCTGTGGCAGCCTCCTGCTGCCCAGCCGCCCAAGCCATGTGCCCCCCCCAAAAAACTTTTTGGGGTTGCCTCTCGTCCTTCCAACGATGACCCTGCTGACGCCGTTGCTCCTCTCTCGCCAGGGCCTTGATCTTCCCCCAAGGTCCCTTGCCCCCGAGCATGTCCTCCCAGGACCACGATTTGCCCACCTGGGCCATCGCCAGCCTCTCGATCTCCTTACCAGGCGCCTCCTCCCATGTCCAGTCTCTTTGCTCCCGGACACGCTGCTTGGTCCTTTGGTGGTGGGTTTTTCTGTCACGAACGTCTTCCAAATGAGTAGACCAAAGCGCAGCGCGTTGAGCGAACATGACTTTATTACTTCAAAGTCTGGAAACAAAACAACAAAACAAGAACGATTCGTGAAGTCCTCTGCAATACTGACAGAACATGGAACAAAAACCCACAACACCCAAAGGGAAACATACAGATAAATATGGCTCCCAATCAGAGATAACGAGCCGACAGCTGACACTCGTTACCTCCGATTGGGAGTCACATGACTACACAAGAACTAACCAAAACCACACACACCCAAATGAACACACCCTATTCCCAACCTAACCAAAACAAACCCCCACAAAACGAATACACCCTGGCTCAAATACAAGTCCCGGAGCCAGAGTGTGACAATAATGACCATCGTTATGTTTGGAGGAAAAAGGGGGATGCTTGCAAGCCGAAGAACACCAGGAAGGAAGGACAATTATGTGGATATATTGAAGCAACGTCTCAAGACATCAGTCAGGAAGTTAAAGCTTGGTAGCAAATAGGTCTTCCAAATGGACAATGACCCCAAGCATACTTCCAAAGTTGTGGCAAAATGGCTTAAGGACAACAAAGTCAAGGTATTGGAGTGGCCATCACAAAGCCCTGACCTCAATCCTATAGAAAATGTGTGGGCAGAACTGAAAAAGCGTGTGCGAGCAAGGAGGCCTACAAACCTGACTCAGTTACACCAGGTCTGTCAGGAGGAAGGGGCCAAAATTCACTCAACTTATTGTGGGAAGCTTGTGGAAGGCTACGCGAAACTTTTGACCCATGTTAAACAATTTAAAGGCAATGCTACCAAATACTAATTGAGTGTATGTAAACTTCTGACCCACTGAGAATGTGATGAAATAAATAAAAGCTGAAATAAATCATTCTCTCTACTATTATTCTGACATTTCACATTCTTAAAATAAAGTGGTGATCCTAACTGAACTAAGACAGAGAATTTGTACTAGGATTAAATGTCAGGAATTGTGAAAAACAGAGTTTAAATGTATTTGGCTAAGATGTATGTAAACTTCCGACTTCAACTGTATCTCTCTGAGATATATATATACAGTAGCAGTCAAAAGTTTGGACACACCTACTCATTCAAGTGTTTTTCTTTATTTTTACTATTTTCTACATTGCAGAATAATAGATCAAAACTATGAAATAACACATATGGAATCATGTAGTAACCAAAACAGTGTTAAATAAATCAAAATATGTTTTATATTTTATATTCTTCAAAGTAGCCACCCTTTGCCTTGATGACAGCTTTGCACACTCTTGGCATTCTCTCAACCAGCTTCATGAGGAATGCTTTTCCAACAGTCTTGAAGGAGTTCCCACATATGCTGACCACTTGTTGGCTGCTTTTCCTTCACTCTGTGGTCCAACTCATCCCAAACCATCTCAATTGGGTTGAGGTCGGGGGATTGTGGAGGCTAGGTCATCTGATGCAGCACTCCATCACTCTCCTTACACAGCCTGGAGGTGTGTTTTGGGTCATTGTCCTGTTGAAAAACAAATGATAGTCCCACTAAGCGCAAACCAGATGGGATGCCGTATCGCTGCAGAATGCTGTGGTAGCCATGCTGGTTAAGTGTGCCTTGAATTCTAAATAAATCACTGACAGTATCACCAGCAAAGCACCCCCACACCATCACACCTCCTCCTTCATGCTTCACAGTGGGAAACACATATGCTGAGATCCTCCGTTCACCTACTCTGCGTCTCACAAAGACACGGCGGTTGGAACCAAAAATCTCAAATTTGGACTCATCAGACCAAAGGACAGATTTCCACCGGTCTAATGTCCATTGCTCGTGATTCTTGGCCCAAGCAAGTCTCTTCTTCTTATTGGTGTCCTTTAGTAGTGGTTTCTTTGCAGGGCCTGATTCACGCAGTCTCCTCTGAACAGTTGATGTTGAGATGTGTCTGTTACTTGAACTCTGTGAAGCATTTATTTGGGCTGCAATTTCTGAGGCTGGTAACTCTAATGAACTTATCCTCTGCAGCAGAGGTAACTATAGGTCTTCCTTTCCTGTGGAGGTCCTCATGAGAGCCAGTTTCATTACATTTTAGTCATTTAGCAGACGCTCTTATCCAGAGCGACTTACAGTTAGTGAGTGCATACATTTTCATACTGGCCCCCCGTGGGAAACAAACCCACAACCCTGGCGTTGCAAGCGCCATGCTCTACCAACTGAGCTACAGGGGACTCATCATAGCACTTGATAGTTTTTGCGACTGCACTTGAAGAAACTTTCAAAGTTCTTGAAATTTTCCAGATTGACTGACTTTCATGTCTTAAAGTAATGATGGACTGTCGTTTCGCTTTGCTTATTGGAGCTGTTCTTGCCATAATATGAAAATGTATGCACTCACTAACTGTAAGTCGCTCTGGATAAGAGCATCTGCTAAATGACTAAAAATGTTTTTTTTAATGTAAAAAATATGGACTTGGTCTTTTACCAAATTCTGTATGCCACCCCTACCTTGTCACAACACAACTGATTGCCTCAAACGCATTAAGAAGGAAATAAATTCCACAAATTAACTTTTAACAAGGCACACCTGTTAATTGAAATGCATTCCAGGTGACTACCTCATGAAGCTGGTTGAGAGAATGCCAAGAGTGTGCAAAGCTGTCATCAAGGCAAAAGGTGGCTACTTTGAAGAAAATATATAAAATATATTTGTATTTGTTTAACACTTTTTCGGTTACTACATGATTCCATAGGTGTTATTTAATAGTTTTGATGTCTTCACTATTATTCTACAATGTAGAAAATAGTAAAAATAAAGAAAAACCCTTGAATGAGTAGGTGTGTCCAAACCTTTGACAGGTACTGTAGATGGATGGATCGATGGATGGATAGATTATATAATTACAGCCTAAATGCAGTTCACTGACAAATCCTAGATGTGATGTTTATTTTTCTCTGTCCAGGTCCTTCAGTAAACAGCGTGCTGCCATAGAACAAGATTACAGTCAGGTGAGAGGCCTCTCACAATACTGATGCTGATTGACAAGCCATGGTCAAGTCCCACTGGGCACACACTGGTTCAATCAACATACTTTCAACATAATTTCAATGAAACGTGGAATTGACGTTGAATTGACATCTGTGCCCTCTGGGGTGGGTGTGTGTCCGTGTCTTATGTTCACCTCTCCAGTGATGGGGGGCAGTATACCATGTGATACGACCTTGGGCCATCTCGTAGAGTGGCGTATCATTGAGCTGAAATGGGTTTGGAGTATTTGGACACTAACCTGCTCTCAGACTGTTTTTGGTAGCATCTTCGCAACAACTATTTTAAGCAACACTCTTACCACCCTCCCCACATTAAAATCATTACTCAAAGCACTCATGTTGAATATTTTGAAATGGAATGCATTCAGATATTGATTTAGATATTAGTGAGTATTTCAGGGACCTTGGTGATGTCCATAAGCAAGGCAGGGGAAGACAACACACAGCATCCATTTGTCTCAGGAACCAGGAACGACAGTTATAATTGTGTGCCGTATAGTACTGTAGTGCTGATGTCCCATTGGATGTTTCCCCAATGGAGAATTCTTATAAGATTTACATAATAGGGTGTTTGATTAGCTGATAACTTAATTATATGCTTGAATGGCTGTGGAAATGTCTGCTTTAGATGCACTGCACTGATCCTCTTTCTTTTCTAACATGTCTAGCTGGGTTATATCTACTGTAGTGACTTCCTGTAGTGTCAGACATAAGAATGTTCCTAATGAGTCTACTATCCACATGTTGCCATGGACTTTGAACTTGCCTCTGACCATTGTGGTTTCTAGTTAGTTTCCTGTGATGCTGTCCCTTGGTTCTTTTGGTATTTAACAATACATCAACATTGGACCTATGGAGTATGCCTAACAGTTGTAATAATGTTCACCTACACACTCAGACGAGCGTTTTCCTCACGTAGACTGTGAGTGTTTGTCAACCTCAGACCCTTGTACCATGGGGAATGTAGCGGGGTGGCGATGGTGAAATAAGGACCTGTGAACCAATCCCTCCACATCTGAAAAGCAGTCTGTGGCTTTAGTACTACTGGTGGCTGGTGCGTAGTGGCTCTGCTATTTTATGTCTGGGTGTGAAGGAGCCAGTGTGTTTCTGAGCCAAGCTCCTGGATCAGTTCGCTGACGTCGGCAGTGAGTTAATCTGAAACAGGAAGTGAACACTGGACAGGGCAGTTTTCACTGGGGTGTTGACGTTCCACCAGGGGCCTCGACGGCAGAGCTTCTAGTATTGATAAAAAAACACTGCTTTTCGCTCCAGATCTGCATGTTTTCCTGTACACAAAAACAAGACGTGTTCACTTTAGGCTGGGCCCTGCACTTACACTCCAAACCAAATTCCTATTGATGGGTTACAACAAGGTTTATAAGGTGAATGTAATGAAATATCCCTGATTGTGTTTCCTATCAACTTTAATAAAACATCTCCTTCTCTCTCAGGCTCTCCAGAGGCTGGCCATACAGTTCCAGAGGAAAGACTGGCAAAGAGGCAAGGGAGACTCTTTGAACTCTGGGTAACCTATCAGGAGCTTGATAGTTTGATCCCACTACACGTTAATGACCTTTTTACTCTCAGCCATTCCAACCCCCATTTTGTAAAACAAGTTGCATGCAGTGTTTCATAGACATACAGTAGCAGTCAAAAGTTTGGACACACCTACTCATTCAAGGGTTATTCTTTATTTTTACTATTTTCTACAAAACTATGAAATAATACATATGGAATAATGTAGTAACCAAAAAAGTGTTAAACAAAAAACAAAAACACTCTGAGAGCCGTTTAGTGTCCAAATACTCCAAACCCATTTCAGCTCAATGATACGCCACTCTACGAGATGCCCCAAGGTCATATCACATGGTATACTGCCCCCTATCACTGGAGAGGTGAACATAAGATATGGACACACACCCACCCCACATGGCACAGATGTCAATTCAACGTCAATTATTTTGATTTGTTTATCACTTTTTTTGGTTACTACATGATTCCATATGTGTTATTTCATAGTTTTGATGTCTTCACTATTATTCTACAATGTAGAAAATAATAAAACATAAAGAAAAACCCTTGAATGAGTAGGTGTGTCCAAACTTTTGACTGGTACTGTATATGAAGGATATGTCTGTCAAATAATATAATTATTAATGATTGAAGATGCTCCCGTCACTAGTCACACAGTCTAACATCAGGGGATGCCATAGTGCTGGTGTAAAAACATTTCTCTCTTTACATTTTAGCAGACGCTCTTATCCAGAGTGACTTACATTTGAGTGCATACATTTTTTGAAAAAAAAAAAATCATACTGGCCCCCCGTGGGAATCGAACCCACAACCCTGGCGTTGCAAGCGCCATGCTCTACCAACTGAGCTACACAGGACCTTTGTGTTGTGTGTGTGTGTGTGTGTGTGTGTGTGTGTGTGTGTGTGTGTGTGTGTGTGTGTGTGTGTGTGTGTGTGTGTGTGTGTGTGTGTGTGTGTGTGTGTGTGTGTGTGTGTGTGTGTGTGTGTGTGTGTGTGTGTGTGGTGTGTGTGTGTGTGTGTGTGTGTGTGTGTGTGTGTGTGTGTGTGTGTGTGTGTGTGTGTGTGTGTGTGTGTGTGTGTGTGTGTGTGTGTGTGTGTGTACTGCCAGGAGTGTGTTTGCTGTGTGGAGGTCTCTGATTGAGGCAACAGCACAGAGTGGAGCGTGTCGTCTCACGGCGGCCCACGGATATCGCTCACTCACTGCCAACGCTCTGAAGAGCCTGAGGGCAGCCAAGGAGCTGAAGACCAAGAGGGTGAGCTGAGCTGTGCAGTGGCTTATGGGAGGATACACTGAAATAATGTATGATCCACATTGCAGTGCATCCTAGTCTGAGTAACCATATAGAGGAAAATGCATGTTTTTAGACTAATAATCTATTTTCACAAAAGTAGTGCAGCATTCACAACTGTACATTTTCTTCATCAGGCTTCACTAAGCTGAGAACATTGTGTAGAAATTGTTTTGGAGTCGGTGAAAGCTTGTTTGGGATAGCTACAGCTTGAACACACACTCCCATCAAGCACACTAGAATGTATCTACTCAGATACCCATTTTCTTTTCTTTTTTGGGGGGGGTGGGGGGGGGGGGGGGGGGGGGGGGGGTGCCCTTACAGTGAGGGAAAAAAGTATTTGATCCCCTGCTGATTTTGTACGTTTGCCCACTGACAAAGAAATGATCAGTCTATAATTGTAATGGTAGGTATATTTGAACAGTGAGAGACAGAATAACACCAAAAAATCCAGAAAAACGCATGTCAAAAATGTTATAAATTGATTTGCATTTTAATGAGGAAAATAAGTATTTGACCCCTCTGCAAAACATGACTTAGTACTTGGTGGCAAAACCCTTGTTGGCAATCACAGAGGTCAGACGTTTCTTGTAGTTGGCCACCAGGTTTGCACACATCTCAGGAGGGATTTTGTCCCACTCCTCTTTGCAGATCTTCTCCAAGTCATTAAGGTTTCGAGGCTGACGTTTGGCAACTCGATTTTCTGTGGGATTAAGGTCTGGAGACTGGCTAGGCCACTCCAGGACCTTAATGTGCTTCTTCTTGAGCCACTCCTTTGTTGCCTTGGCCGTGTGTTTTGGGTCATTGTCATGCTGGAATACCCATCCACAACCCATTTTCAATGCCCTGGCTGAGGAAAGGAGGTTCTTACCCAAGATTTGACGGTACATGGCCCCGTCCATCGTCCCTTTGATGCGGTGAAGTTGTCCTGTCCCCTTAGCAGAAAAACACCCCCAAAGCATAATGTTTCCACCTCCATGTTTGACGGTGGGGATGGTGTTCTTGGGGTCATAGGCAGCATTCCTCCTCCTCCAAACACGGCGAATTGAGTTGATTCCAAAGAGCTCCATTTTGGTCTCATCTGACCACAACACTTTCACCCAGTTCTCCTCTGAATCATTCAGATGTTCATTGGCAAACTTCAGACGGGCATGTATATGTGCTTTCTTGAGCAGGGGGACCTTGCGGGCGCTGCAGGATTTCAGTCCTTCACGGCGTAGTGTGTTACCAATTGTTTTCTTGGTGACTATGGTCCCAGCTGCCTTGAGATCATTGACAAGATCCTCCCGTGTAGTTCTGCGCTGATTCCTCACTGTTCTCATGATCATTGCAACTCCACGAGGTGAGATCTTGCATGGAGCCCCAGGCCGAGGGAGATTGACAGTTATTTTGTGTTTCTTCCATTCCCTTTAAGAGTGTGCTCCTAATCTCAGCTCGTTACCTGTATAAAAGACACCTGGGAGCCAGAAATCTTTCTGATTGAGAGGGGGTCAAATACTTATTTACCTCATTAAAATGCATATCAATTTATAACATTTTTGACATGCGTTTTTCTGGATTTTGTTGTTATTCTGTCTCTCACTGTTCAAACAAACCTACCATTAAAATTATAGACTGATCATTTCTTTGTCAGTGGGCAAACGTACAAAATCAGCAGGGGATCAAATACTTTTCCCCCTAGTTTAATAGAGAGTGTGGCTTATGATAGCCTCCTCCTTATGAAAATTATTCAATTACGTAACCAGAGCATGTTGTTTTAACGAAGAAATCCACTCCAAAACTATATTTTAATATTTGTCATTTAATACAATGCCTTTTGCACAACGTAATCAGCATTTAATCTATTGGATTTGTTTAATCTGTCAATCTAGAGACAGTTTGGCATAGTTAATCTGTAAGTCTAGAGACAGTTTGACGTAGTGTAAATGCAGTGAGTTCCTCCTTCAGTTACCCCTATACGCTGTCCCGTCCATGCATATTGTTGTATTCCACTGTAATACCCCTTTAGGGCCTAGAGCAGCTGCAGAGGGTACAGGGTGAGGTGGTGGATGCACTACGGGAGCTCCACAAAGTCAAGAAGAGATACTACCAGATGAGTCACATGACTAACGTGGCCAGGGAGAAAGCTGCTGATGCACAGGCCAAGTAAGTCTGTGAGTGTGGGCCTGGTCAAAAGTAATTAAAATATATTTAATTTTTTTGGGGGGGGAACTCAGTCGGGGTCTCAACTTACTGTTGAGAGTTAGAATAATAGAATACACAAGGTAAAATTTCGAAATGTGGTTGTGCATCAGCAGTCACTCAATTAGCCCATGTCAGCATTTTTTTTTTTGATTGGTAAATTAATCTAGCGGCCAGCTATCTAAACGTGTAGTAAGCATGGTCAAATTACCAACTAGAGTGGGGCCCATTGATCATAGTTATCATATTAAAAACTGCAAACATTTGCCTCCACCCTATGGAAAAATGTGTAGAATTGCAGGAAATTGGCTGTAAGCCTGCCACTTTTTCTCTCTGCCCCATTGCAAAATGAGTAGAATTGCATGACATTTGTTATAAAATTGCAAAATCTTCTCTACTCCCCATGGCAAAATGTGTGGAATTGCAGGAAATTAATTATAAAACAAAAAAGATATCTTTGCTGTCACGAGGTTGGCCGCTAAAATGTTTTGCTTGCAAGGTAGGGGGTATGGATGTGGGTACGCAGACCCACGAGCCACTGCGGCCCCTCATGATGAGTTCTGTTTTTTTGTGGCACCCACCCCCATCAAAGTTGCCTATCACTGTGTTAGACAAAAGCCCAAATGAAACCATATCTATTTTCTTTGATTTTCCAATAATACTCTTACTCTAGCCCTGCTTTGTTCCCATGTGACAGCCTTAAAGGTCCAATGCAGACGTTTTTATCTCAATATCAAATTATTTCTGGGTAAAAATTAAGTACCTTACTGTGATTGTTTTCGATTAAAATTGTCAAAAAGAAACAAAAATAGCTTCTTAGCAAAGAGCAATTTCTCAAGCAAGAATTTCTGCGAGGACTGTCTGGGAGTGGTCTGAGTGGGGAGGGGAAAACCAAAAACTAGCTGTTATTGGCAGAGAGGTTTGGAACTCTCTTTCTTATTGGTCTTAAGGCCAAAACTCTATCCCCCCAAAACAGGCAGAAATTTCAGGCGGTCTTTTGAAATACCTCTTACACTAAAAGGGCATTATCATAATTTTCACAATTTCACAGTATTATTCCAACCTCATAGTGTGGAAATATATATAAAACACAAGAAAATCATGTTTTTGTCTGCACTGTGCCTTTAAGGCTACTTGTACCATAGTTAAAGTATTCATCATCTGAGAAGGAGCAGGTAGTGGCATGTTAGATGTTCTGTAAACCTGTAGTCATTGCATTTTAGTTGAGATACGTGGTTGAAGTGCATATTTTATGTCTATCTATTCTTATTTATAATAATGTCAATAAGGGTCTTGGTTTGATTATTTCTATCACATGTGCCCATGTGACCTTTTTCAGATTCAAGAAGAGTGACCATGGAATTTTCCATTTTAGGACAGGCTTGCAGAAAATGAGTTCAAAGGTAGGCTACTGTAGGCTGACACACATGAAGGTATGGGATGAAGTACCCCACCACCGCCACATAATTGTCACCTGGCTAGTTAGTACACCTAGAGTACACATATTTCTCAAAGAGCAAATCGTGTTTTATCGGTTATATGCTTTACTATGAAGAAATGTCTTCAATAAAACATGTAGGAATAATGCAGTTACGTTGTTGAATATTGTACTCTTCTTAGACACCTTGCACTTTGCCTATTGATTACCTATCAAATCAAACACATATTGATAGTATAATTGATTGTAATAATGAAACATATTTTATCCTCTACTCACTACTCCCTGTAACCCTTGTCCAGCTGAATACCAGGCTGAGGGAGTGTGACCAGAGACTGACAGAGGTGCGTAATGAGTACCTTCTGACGCTGTCTGCCATCAACTCCCATCACCAGTACTACTACACTGCAGAGCTGCCTGCCATCATGAGGGTAAGACCACCTGGCATCTCCTAACGTCATACTGTCTCTCTGGATTCTCATCATGAGTCTGTCATAAGTCTGAAAACACTGCATAGTCCCCTCAGACGTATCTCCTATCAGTGAAAAAAACCTTCCTTTGTGTTTGTGATGAGTCACTGCTAGTTGACATATTTTCCTGTCCTGTTGTGGTTGTCTTAGCTGTAGAGCAGAGAGCACAAACTACACAGAAATTAACCCAAATAGGAAATCCTTAAATGTTCCCTTTTGGCTTTTTGCCTTTGCAAAGGAATCAGGTGAGTCAAAAGTTCAGCTCACAGAACATTCATAACACAACAATCTTCTTGAAAGTGTCTCTTTATCTCTCAATCAAGGGAAATGTCCCTCAGTGACTCAACTCTTGTTATTGCAGTAACCAATGTAATTCATTATGAATCAGTTGATTACAATCCCTCAGACTTTGACTGAAACACTGGAAAATAAGCAAAGACATTTCCTTCTCAAAACATCTCTGATTTTGTCCTGCGTCAGGGCTCTGGCCATAACCCCAGCTCTCACCTCTGTCGTTTACCCAACAGAGACTGGACAGTGACCTGTATGAGCGAATCCGAGAACACTTCACCCTCCTGTGCTGCACAGAGATCGACACCTGCCAGTCCACGCATAGTAACTTTAGCAAGATCTGCGAGAACTCCACCAAGGTGAGGCCGTGCGTGGGATCCACTGAAGCTCTTCTCACAGTAAAACCATACCACAGACAGCAGCCCCACTGTAATACCCAGAGCTGTGACATTCCTCACCTGGGCACCACTGATGGAGGCCAGACAGACCGCTGACTGATGTTCTGTTCTGTGGGAGACGTGAACTAGTGTCTGTGTCCCAAATAACACCCTATTCCTTATACAGTGCACTACTTTTGACCAGGGCCCATAGGGCCCATAGGGAATAATGTGCCAATGTGGGAGTCATGAAAATGTTTGTTTGGTTCTCTGATAGGTGTCTAGAGAACGGAACATCCAGATCTTCCTCCAGGAGTCCCCGGTCTTCACCAGAACAGCCGGCTTTCACTTCCAGGTTGCCCCTGAAGACAAGGTGTGGCTAACTGTGGTACCACTCTCCTTGGTTACCATGTAAACACCATTATATGACAATTAATATCCACAAAGCTGTTTGAATAAAACCCTGATTGAGGTGAAAATGTTGATATTTTCATGTAGTGAACAGCAATTTTTTGTGTGTGAGATAATCCCAGCTTCACCTCTCCTGTTCTTTCTAAAGGTGTGCATTCTGAAGCAACAGAGCTCCAGTGCTGAGGGGGAGAGCTGTTTGGACAAGGAGGCCCGCAAGTGGTCCGCTAAGGCTGCCAAAGACTACAAGATCATCACTCACGGAGAGAGGGTGAGTAGTGGGCGAAAGCTCTGTTTACCTCTGGTTCGGGAACCTGACCTTGTGTAACCTCTGTATGCCTTCCTCATAGGCCCTGCAGATGCTGGACAGGCGTTTCAAACTGCTTTCAGGAGACACAGGAGTCAATGTGGAACAGAAGATGGTGGAGGTGAAGGAGAGTGTGAGGAAATCCCAGGTATGACTACTACTAGCCCAATGCTACAATGACCTCACATTAACATTACCCTCTTATTCCACCCTACCAGGAAATGGATAATGATAAGGCAATCAGTCATTAACCAGGCTTTATCAACAGACCAGAGTTCCTCTTTGATGTGCTGGGGTTAGCCTTCTGTATGCTCTTAGAAAAAAGGGTTCCAAAGGTGTTCTTCGGCTGTCCCCATAAGATAATCCTTTTTGGTCCCCCTCTGTGGAAAGGGTTCTACATGGAACCCAAAAGGGTTCTTCAAACGGTTTTCCTATGGGGACAGCCGAAGAACCCTTTTAGGTTCTAGATAGCACCTTTTTTTGGAAGAGTGTAGAGGTGGATGTAGTTATTTAATGCTAAGTGACTGGTGGGTGATGAGACCAAGGATGTGTGTGTTCTAAGCCAATAGCCAAGCCTCTGCAGATGCAGGATGCTTTCTACTACTAGAGCCTTGGTAGAGCTAACAGCAGAGCTCTCTCCTCCACTCTGCCTGGCCCATTGATGAGCCAGGTGGATGACCTCTATCTGGATCTGAATGGAATGTGTGAGTCACTGCATACTTCCTACTTCCCACATCACACAAGGACAAATGCAAATGCTGCTGGCACCATGAGTCAGTTGGTACTGTTAATTCAACCCACCACCTCCTCCTGCTTTACTCAGTTGGCTTGGGCTCAGAGTAAGCGTTATGTGATGTGATCAAGCTTTTGTATTGGCCTGGAAAACCATGTTTCCTTACTTACAAGAAATAAGTTGGGTTTAGGAAACATAATGCAGCCAATATGCTGTTAATGTACTGCTAATATGATACTAGTATGATGCTAATGCCAACCCCAGATGTCCTTGCTGACTACAACCCTTGTTTTGTTGTGCTGTTTAATTAATATTATGAGAATTATGGCTTATTAATATGTATTATGTCTAAGGTATTATGTCTGAGGTGTTACAGTGTGTGAGGTGTTAGAGTGTGTGAGGTGTTAGAGTGTGTGAGGTGTTAGAGTGTGTGAGGTGTTACAGTGTGTGAGGTGTTAGAGTGTGTGAGGTGTTACAGTGTGTGAGGTGTTACAGTGTGTGAGGTGTTACAGTGTGTGAGGTGTTAGAGTGTGTGAGGTGTTACAGTGTGTGAGGTGTTACAGTGTGTGAGGTGTTACAGTGTGTGAGGTGTTACAGTGTGTGAGGTGTTAGAGTGTGTGAGGTGTTACAGTGTGTGAGGTGGTTACAGTGTGTGAGGTGTTACAGTGTGTGATACAGTGTGTGAGGTGTTACAGTGTTGTGAGGGTGTTACAGTGTGTGATGTTACAGTGTGTGAGGTGTTACAGTGTGTGAGGTGTTACAGTGTGTGAGAGTGTTGTACAGTGTTGTGTTGAGGTTGTTTACAGTGTGTGAGGTGTTACAGTGTGTGAGGTGTTAGAGTGTGTGAGGTGTTAGAGTGTGTGAGTGTTACAGTGTGTGAGTGGAGTTGTGTTAAGGTTGGTGTGAGGTGTTACAGTGTGTGAGGTGTTACAGTGTGTGAGGTGTTAGAGTGTGTGAGGTGTTACAGTGTGTGAGGTGTTACAGTGTGTGAGGTGTTACAGTGTGTGAGGTGTTAGAGTGTGTGAGGTGTTACAGTGTGTGAGGTGTTACAGTGTGTGAGGTGTTACAGTGTGTGAGGTGTTGAAGTGTGGTGAGAGTTGGTGTTACAGTGTGGTGAGTGTGTACAGTGTGTGTGTGAGGTGTTACAGTGTGTGAGGTGTTACAGTGTGTGAGGTGTGGGTTTACAGTGTGTGAGGTGTTACAGTGTGTTGAGGTGTTACAGTGTTGAGGTGTTTAGAGTGTGTGAGGTGTTACAGTGTGTGAGGTGTACAGTGTGTGAGGTGTTTAGAGTGTCTGAGGTGTTAGAGTGTGTGAGGTGTTACAGTGTGTGAGGTGTTACAGTGTGTGAGGTGTTACAGTGTGTGAGGTGTTACAGTGTGTGATGTGTTACAGTGTGTGAGGTGTGGCTGTAAAGGGGATGACATTGAGGAAAAATAATCTGGTACAAGGTACCTGTGAGAGACATGTGGGAGGGGTGACAGGTGGTAGTAAGGTGTGTGTGTGTGTGTGTGTCCAGGTGAGTCGGGTGAAGGCGGAGTCCAGGCTGGCACTGCTGGCGTCGGCGGGGGTGGATGTGGAGCCATGGTTGAGCAGTGCCATGACCCAGGCAGACGAGGAGCTGGAAAGGGACAGGAGGTTGAGCGAGGCACGCATGTCCAACGGAGACATCTCAGAGGACGAGTTTGAGTTCACAGACTTCGACGACTACGATGATGATGGTGACACTTTCATCGATTCAACTTCCTGCTCAGTGCCGTGTGGATACCCCTTGGCTTGCAGGGTTCTCTACAGCTATCAGGTGACAATATCAGGACTTTTAGAAATGTCAACATTACAAGAATGAGATTTTCCTCTCAGGTGTTATAGTGTGGAATTAGCTGACCTATCTTCCTGCAGGCCTGCCAAGGAGATGAGCTGTCAATCACAGAGGGGGAAGAGCTTCAGGTGATAGAGGATGGAGACATGGAGGACTGGCTGAAGGTAAAGGAGGACAGGTTTCTCTCTGGCTGCGTCCCAAATGGCACCCTATTCCATATTTAGGCTCCATAGGGCTCCGGTCAAAAGTAGTGAACTATGTAGCGAATAGGGTGCCATTTGGGACGCAACTTTTGTCTCAGGGTACAGTGCTATTTACTGTAGCAGGCAGTTGTTCACACACATTTGTCCTCTCTACCAAACACATGCGGTCTCCCCACTTCCTGTTTCTACTCAGCACAGAGTAAACAAACTACTGGTCTTCCTGTTTGAGAAAGAGAGGCATTATGTCGCAACTTAATCTTTACTGATCCGTAACAGTTGTGAAAAATAACAGGTCAATTTCAACCAACATTGAGCACTGTCTCAACACGAGCCGAGCTCTCCGTAAACCATCAATATGCGTTAAGATCACCCACACAGTTGATCTCAACTGCAACCACAATTGGCCACCATATTACCGCTCCCTAAAACTGATTTTGGTATTAACTTTAAGTCCTGGTTACTGCCAACATTTATCAAGACTATTTAGCCCTCTTGTGGGTTTTATCTTCAGAATAAATTAAACCTTCTATTTGAGCAGACTAAGCACAGATTTGACTATTTAACAATCATTCCTCGTTTACCACAGATAATCTACTGTGGCAATTTAACCTTCACATTTTATGAATGTAAAGCTTGTGTTGGTATACTTACTTTTCATTTCGAATTTATGTAATCCATTAATAAAAATGTGTCTTAATACTTAACACTTATCAAAATTGGAAGATAAAGTATTTCTGAACTATCCACATTCTAAAATTGGTAACTAAATCAAGCCAATCATGATTGAGTAAATATAATATATGTTTTCATAAAATTATAGTCTAATCATTGACATTTTAGTGATCCAATTGACATTTTAGTCAAGGTACTGTATGTCAAATTACAAATTATATTCTAATGTGTCCCAAACATAGATGTCTATAATTTACTGTATTGTACTTTACTGTACTGTACTCTACTGTACAGTACACGTGAGTACGCGAGTACAGTATAGTTCAGTACAGTACAGGAAAGTAGAGTACAGTATAGTTCAGTACAGTATAGTTCAGTACAATACAGTAGAATATAGTTCAGTTCAGTTCAGTAGAGTAGAGTATAGTTCTGTACTGTACTCTACTGTAGTTTACTGTACTATACTGTACTCTACTCTACTCTACTCTACTGTACTGAACTTAACTAAACTCTACTGTACTGTACTGAACTATACTCTACTGTACTGAACTGAACTATACTATACTTGAGTTTCTTACAATTCAATGGGTCTACTGTACACTACATGACCAAAGTATGTGGACACCTGCTCGTCAAACATCTCATTCCAAAATCATGGGCATTAATATGGAGTTGGTCCCCCATTTTCTGCTATAACAGCCTCCACTCTTCTGGAACATTGCTGCGGTGACCTGCTTCCATTCAGCCACAAGAGCGTAAGTGAGGTCGGGCACTGATTTTGGGCGATTAGGCCTGGCTCGCAGTCGGCGTTCCAATTCATCCCAAAGGTGTTTGATGGGGTTGAGGTCAGGGCTCTGTGCAGGCCAGTCAAGTTCTTCCACACCGATCTCGACAAATGTTACGTGAATTTCTATCCCAATGTTTCAAAAATGAACTTATTACTCAGTCTGTATCCCAGAGGTTGTAAATCTCTAATAATCAGACCAAGCAGCCCAGCATACAATCATCAGGCTTTATTCATGAGAACGTTCTGCCATCACAATTTCAGAGTCCATCTTTTATACTCATACGTCATACAAACATCCCTCTTCTCTGTAGGCGGGCTGTAGTTTTCCACTTTAAAACTGCTCTCCTGACCATCAGTACACACACACACACACACACACACATACACACACATACATACACACACACACACACACACACATACACACACACACACATGCATACACACATACATACATACATACACACACACATGCATTCCTTAGTTATCGCCGTCCTCACAATATCCTGCATACTCTTTAAAAAACCTAACAGTTTCTCTCCTCCCTAAATTTGGAGGCCCCTTTATCTTGGTTTAGACAGTTCGCCTTTGTTGTCTGGTCTAACTCTTACTCACATTGCTAAATAGTAGCTCAATGCCATAGTCTTTACTGGTCCTATACTCACACATTTCTAACACATTTCACACAGTTTCAGGGTGTAATAATTAGTCATTAATAATTAATCTATCAATCCACCCTTTGACTAATTATTACACACATACAAAGTATATGTTGTTATAGAAATGAATCATACTCATTGAAGTATATAAGTTGGTTTGCATATAAAAACAAAAAAAATTGTCTCATTCAATACAGGTTCATCAGGGTTACCCCATGATTAAAAGCGTAACGTTACTCTTTAGCAATGGTACCTAACCTGTCTACCCTGCAAGAGGAAATATTCTACCCTTGGTGGTTTAGTGCTATTTAGGATTCCTTCTGAGGGCCTTCCAAGGGGTATTAGACTAGTTTTTTGATACCTCTGGTGATAACATTAGATCTACCTGCTGTTCTGTCTCGGGGGTGGAAGATTCATGTCTCTCCTGAAAAATGAACCTCAAACATATATCTGCCCCGAAATCATCAACACAGGCCCAATAGTTCCTTGCTATGTCATCTTGCATAATTGACTTTACCGTTATCACCAGTTCCGTTTTACATTTATCATGGGTTTGTTTAATTCCCCATCGGTGTACTGCGTCCATTCCATTCTCATAGTATGTTCCCCAGGTATGTTTAAACACCCTTGCCCAAGGACATGAGCATTCCCCAGTGCAAATGTATTTACCATACCTTCTAGGACCTAACTTTCTTGTACACGCCCCCTTCTTACCAAAGCCCCCAAAACCTCCTATCTCTTCATGGGAGAAGTCGAATGGTATCTTGAATCCCCCATCTTGTCCTAAACTGACTTTAACTATTAAAATAATAATTCCCCCAATAGTCTTTCTTGGTTTCAGTATTTCTACGAGATCGAATCAGTGCATCATTCCCCTGTTTAGGTTGACCTGGATTAATCCATAATATGGTTAACATGATGATGCAGCTCAGAGTCCCCCAAAATCCCCAAAACCGCCATCCCAATCCTGTCCCTGACTCACCTGCCTGGTACTTACCCATACCCACACCTCTATAAACACCCCACAGTGATGAAAGGTCGGGGTAGGGTTTCTTCGTTAACAGAGTTTACCCCCGAACCCTAATGGTTCAGTTCTTCTCTTTAACTCTGTGTGTGTTCAACAGTGTTGGTATGTGGGCCTACCTTTTTGCAGTGGGTAACGTTGACCCAAGTGGCTCTCTCAGCTATTGTTATAGCGAAGGCAGTTACCAATATGACTTGGTATGGTCCCTCCCAGTGTGACTGCTTTCAATCATTTTTCCTCAACGATTGGTTCCACACCCAGTCTCCAGGTTATATAGAGTGGGTCACCTTCTCCTTTAGTTCACCTGTGGGGCACAAAACCTCTGACATACAGGTGTGGTTAATAAACTACCTTCTCACGTGTTCTGCTAGGGTGCTCTCTAGTTCTATGTCTGCCTGTCTGGTCCTGCCAACTGTGGCATTCTGTAAGGTCTTCCTAACACTTTCTCAAAGGGGGATAACCCATCTTTATTTGGGGTTACTCTAAATTTATTTCCTTCACTCCGTGATAACTGTATAAAATCAAATTCCAATTGCTGGAAAGGGTACTTAGCCGGAGGATACTCACCCTGAGGTGCCCTTTGTCTGCCCTGGTGATTATTTTGAGCATAGATAACACATGTTGAACAAACGTTTATTTTTATTTTTATAATTAGTAATCCCATATGCAACAAAGTGTTGTTTAATCTGCTCTACGATCCATCCCTCCTTTTGACACGTCACTGCCCATGTGTCAATATTACCACCTACCTAAACAATCACTTAGGTAATATTGGTAATTTATCAACCAATTGCCATCCCTTATTTATTTTTGAGACTGTCCCTTTCTTCTTTATTGCTCCTATCTTCCTGATCTCATTACCAAATAAATGATCTAGGTAATAGCTGTTTCGCATTAGATTGTGCCTTCCTCTGATTACTGCAGCTCATTGCATTAATTTAGTTTCAAATACCAACTTGTTGTTTATTAAAGCATAATAAAAATGAAATTTGAATGACAACATTTGATAATACCTCAACTTACTTCTATCCCGTAAAAGTAATCCAAGATTAGTACAATTTACTAGCAACAGGTATTCCTCATTCAGGGAAAGCTCTCTCTCTCTTCTGTTGTTTTATGGTTCAAATCATATATATTATTACCAAATTATAATCTTCTTCACACTTTTCACAGTATTATAAATTACCCTCAACTTGGTAAAATAAACTATCTTAAAGTCCTCCTCTCATGCCTTTAGAATTACCAGTGTGGATGATTAATTAACACCAGAAAGTCAAAACAGAGTTCAGAGGCAATTGAAATTATTCAACGAACTGTTCCATCCCATAGTATACTAAACATTACCATCATTCTAAATATTTCATAAATGTTACTTATCCAAAGTGTTCATTAAGTCCTCATGACATTTATTCTCATAAGAAATCATATATACCCTAAACTCAATCAAAACCGAAAAACTCCATAAAATTCACTGTGTGTGTGCTCCTTGGAGACTTATCACCTTTGACCTGTTGAAAACCCCCTAAAATTGAAATAACAACCCTTTATAAACGTCATACTAGGTGTGTTGTTTTTTATTTGAAAAACCCAATTGAAAAACCCAATTGAAAAACAACAACCAAAAATAGCCAGGCCACACTTAATTTGGTAGCTCACTTTTACGACGTAAATACTGCCTACCTCCATTAAACTGCTCCCCCTATCACTGGACAACATTCCAATGAGATAAGCGAATCTCTTTCTCCTGGAAGAGAAATTATTCATTTAGTTAACCTTCAATTACCATCAGTAATCTAAAGATGGTAAGTAC